GCCTTCCGCGCCCTGACCCGCTCGGGGGGAAGGCGTCCGTGCGCATGCGCACACCAGACAGCGTTGGTTTCCTTTAGCTTTCGCTTAGGGAGGGGCCGTGGCGCGGGCTCCCTTCTCGGCCATGTGACTGGACGAAGCGGCTCTGGCGGTGGGGAGGTTGCGCAGGCGCGCTCCGCGGAGTGTGGGGTGGGCGGCGGGAGGGCCGTTTGGCGGGAGCTGGTTCCGAGAGAGCGCGCGGTGCTGCGCACGAAGGAGGTGGAGTGGAGCGCGCCATTTTTCTGCTGGTTTCCGTTGGAGCGGGTGGGGGAGGCTTTTTCTGCCCGTTGTCAGGTGGCGGCTGGGCTCGGAGTCAGTCTGCTTCCTTCTGAGCAGAGGATTGGGAGGGGTAAGGGTAGCTCTCGCCTTTGAGTTTGGCTTTGGTGTCCCCTTTCCTGCCAGGGCGCTGGTTGCAGGCGGCATGCAGAAGTGCCACCAGGAAGCGCTGAAGAAGAACCGGGTGGTGCTCGCAAAACAGATGGTGTTAAAAGAACTGATGGAGCATATGATAGAGAAAGACATTATCACCACGGAGATGATGGAAATGATACAGGTATGTGGGCGACACTCAGCTACACTGGGAGCTTTATTTCTAGTCAAGCTCTGTTCTGGACAGTGGCAGCATGGTAAAACTCACCTGGCTTTTTTAATCTGATTACGTTTGGAGAACATGCGAAGTAGCATGGGGTTTGCTTGCAACCTGCAGGAGAACTGTAAGGTACTTTAGGCAATATGGGTTTTGTCCGAGGTTTACTAAACTGTTGGCTTGCATGCTGGTATGCAGTTATGGCAGGTTGCACTTCATGAGTCGGGTGGTATCTTCCAGTTCTTTGTTGTAATTTTGTGCTGCTCCTTCTTTATTATTATTTGTAAAAGTAAGAGTAATACCTATTACAAAAAGAATACTGTGAAAGTAAGTATATGTATAAATTATAAACCAGCTTGTGTTGCCTTTCACTTAAAGAATTTGTACTTAATATGTGTTTTTTGTAAATTGCGTGAAGAACCTTAAATGATCCAAGCCTCATTCTCAGAGCACAAATGCTGTTCGTGGGCTTTTGTCACTTATCCTGAGCAGTGGCTACTATGAAAGCCATTGAAATAGCGTGGTATTGCTCCCAGAGGTATGGTAATGCACTGAAGGCTGTGTGGGATGGAGATACAGGTCTTCAAAGAGAAAGCAAACTGGAGGGGAAGTGACTGAAGATACATGTAAAGTGACTGAAGTAAGAAATTAAGGGACTTTTTAGTCTCTTGGTAAGGTTAATGGTCCTGTCATAAGAACAGATGCTGAAAAATAGAATTACAAGCTATTTGCTGGGCACCAGTGCAGACGGTATGAACCTGAGGCTGATAAGGTTTTTGAAAGCAATGAAGAAAAAACTACCTGATGAATGTTGACTCATTCTGTGTCAAAGACAATGTGAAATTCCTCATGGGACCTGTCAAGGAAACCTGTGCTAAGTTGTGGGAGATGCAGTCAGTCTTACCTGAAGTAGCTCCAGTCACTAGCCAAAGAGGACAAAGATGCAAGAAGACAGTGAAAGTCAGAGAATGAATCAGGAACTGATTGTACTGGTTTTGGCTGGGGTGGAGTTATTTCTTTATATTAGCTTGTATAGGGCTGTGTTTTGGATTTGAAATGAAAACAGTGTTGGTAACACAGGGATGTGTTAGTTACTGCTGAGCCGTGCTTACAGAGCCAAAGCCTCTTCTGCTTTTCACACTACCCTTCCAACGAGTACGCTGGGGGTGTACAAGAAGTTGAGAGGGGACACAGCTGGGACAGCTGACCCCAACTGACCAAACGGATATTCCAGACCATATGATGTCATGCTCAGCATATAAAGCTGGAGGAAGAAGAAGGAAGGGAGAACATCCAAAGTTAGGGCATTTGTCTTCCCAGGTAACCATTATGCATCATGGAGCTCTGCTGTCCCTGTTTTGTTTCCAGGAAATGGCTGAACACCTTTCTGGCAATGGAAGTAGTGAATGAATTCCTTGTTTTGGTTTGCATGGGTGCGCAGCTTTTGCGTTACCTATTAAATTGTTTTTATCTCAACCCACAGATTTTTTCCCTTCTAGCCTTTCAGTTCTCCCCACCATTGCACCGCGGGTGGGGGGGGGAGGGGGAGGGGAGTGAGTGAGGAGGTGTGTGGTGCTTAGCAGCCCACCAGGATTAAACAATGACACTGGTAAAGTATGGGTGGTTAGTAGGGGATGTTCAGTTGCTGGCCTGCAGTTAATCACTGAAAGAGGGGGGGGGGGGAAAAAAAAAGCCCTGTCAAAGTTTGGATAATGCCAGAGAAAAGAGTCTTTTTGGGAATATGCTGCTGTAGTTAAGTAGTGTTAAACTGAGACAGAGGGGAAGAAATCTAAGGGAGTCATCTTCTCCAGGTGTGACTGGGTAAAAGGAGATGCAACAATATTTAGTAATGGATTATTAGTAAGGAGAAGGGCATGATGGATAAGTCAGGTAAATAGTTTACTGGAAAAATTGTGCCTCATGCAACATACACATGTAAGTAAGAGCTTAAATGTATATAAATAGTAATAGCAGCCTGAGCAAGAGAACAAAGTGATTTGAACTACTGTTGCAGGGTGTGAATCTGGAAATTGCAGTAAAATCAGAAATAGGGCAGAAGTGGAAGGAAAGCATTCACAACTGGAACAGTAGTACTGCAAAATCTGCATTGCACCAGAAGGATTAAAATGAAGGGAATGTTTACAGGATAGTACTAATCATAATAGTGCTATAGATAAACAGAAAGTAAAGTGCATTAAAAAAGAAATCACTTGAGTCAAAACCACTTTGTCTTACCTTTCATTTTTCTGTAGCAGGTCAGTGAATTTTTAATAGTCTTCCACTGTCTGGCTCAAATGTGAACAAAGGCTTTAGGAGTGCTGTTAGGTAGCCTATTCTTGAAAATGTAATGTGATACTAATCGTCATGAAGCTTAGTGGAAATACAAGAAGACAAATGCTGCTGTGTCTGATAATACAGTGTAGATTTTTGGGGGATATTGTAACTGACTGGTTCTCTATACTTGCCTGCTCCCCCAAGCATGAAATCAAGAATATCAGGATAAATAGTTACATTTTAAATCATCTTATCTTAAAAACACAACAATTTTACTGGTCCTTTTGGCTTTATTTTAAACTAAACAGAAGAATAAACAAGTTGGTTCTGGAAACAGGACACTTAAACTTTTGTAGTCTAAGGAAACTGAGGAGCTCAGGGAGATGAAGAAAGGATGACATTTCTTCAAATGTGAGGTACTAAATAAGTCATGAAACTATCACAAGTGAGGAAAAGGTGGGAGGGGAGGATGTTGCAGGGAGAGCCACTGAAGACAAAGGTGGTTGAGCTGGATGAAGAGCTCACAGGGAACATGGAGAGTAGGTAAAGAGTATATAGGTGTACACTGGAGAAGAATTAAAAAATAGCAGCGGCTTCCTTTGATGTCCCACATGAGGAGAGAGAGTAGGAGCTGACAGGAATGAATTTAAATTGGGTCACTGGGACATTGTTGATACAAAAATAAATGGTATTAGTTAGTCATGAATGAACATGGGTCTGAAATTTCAGAATAGGTTTGTAAGCATTGGATCAACGAGATTTTTGCAATATCCTTCCAAACAATGTGATGGGACAAAAGCCAAACTGCCTTTAATACCAAGCTTAATAAATTTTATGAAAGAAACCAGATGATATGAAATCTTTGTGGCAGAGGATTTATGCATGTGACTTGGCTTTTTCCCCTGATTTCCCTGTGATTGCAAATGTAATGTTAGGCCTTGATTCTGTGTAACTCACCAACCATTTCTAATCATCCACCAAAAGAAGAGATCTTGGATCTAGGTGTTAATTCAGAAAATACAGGACTAATTCCATGGAATTGATAGAATTTATTTTTGATACCCAGTGTTTTACTGCATTATATTTCTATGTGTTTTAGATTTCACAGGGAAGGCTATTATTGTATAAATTATACAGTTTGTTGGCCAATGTCCTGTTAATATTCTAATAATTAGAACTTCCTGGGACTGTTTTACAGATGCATAAATTTCATTTTTGATTGTTACTTTTCCTCATGTACTCCTATATATTGCTTCATTGGTATAAATGTTACAGTTTATACGTGTGTAGTATCTTTTCGGAATTGACTGCATAAAATAAGTATTTTACTTGATGCTTTCTGAGGCATTTGTGTTATCAGTGCATGAGACCATACATGATTGGGCAGTAGTGAAAACATATTCTGGATTTCATGTTCTTAATGAGGGGGAATAGACACTATTCCAACAGTAACTGCAAGTAAAAGTTTAGAGAGGAGAGGGTGTATGACTCTGTGTGGTAATGTATGAATTGTTGGCTTTCTGTGTTGTCATATTCTCTCCCTCTTGAGCTAACAGGAACTGAGGAGTGGGAATGAAAACAACTAGGAAAAGCTATGAAAATGGATCTAGTACACCTAAGCATAGTGATGAAACATTTACATGAAGGAAGGAAGCTGCGTTGTTCTAAAGCTTTATTCAAAACGAATTGTATTGGGGTGTTACTTTAAATGTGGATTTTGTTTCTTTGCATCTAGGCCAAGTCTGGGAGCTTCAGCCAAAATGTGGAATTCCTCAATTTGCTGCCCAAGAGAGGCCCTAATGCCTTCTCAGCCTTCTGCGAATCTCTAAGAGATACCAAACAGCAGCATCTGGAGGCAATGATCTTGAAGACAACATCCAACCTGAACCATGGAATTGCAAGGGTACAACAATTTTTAAAAAATGAAATGTCTAGATTGCGTTTCAGATTGGGTTTGGGCACAAAGTGATCTTTTTTCAAATGAGGAAGAATGGTTTACAAAGGACAGGATGGCTTTTCCTTGCAAATTGAAACTGTAGCAGCCTTAGTAAAAGTAGAGGGGGAGGAATTTGGGAGGAATTGCAGGATGGTAGAGGTTGGAAGGGACCTCTGAAGGTCATCTGGTCCAACCACCCCCTTGCTCAAGCAGGGTCACCGTGAGCAGGTTGCCCAGGGCCATGTCTAGATGGCTTTTGAATATCTCCAAGGATGGAGACTCTGCAACCTCTCTGGGTGACCTCCAGTGCTCGGTCACCCTCCCAGTAAAAAAAGCATTTCCTAATGTTCAGGGGAAACCTCCTGTGTTTCTGTTGTGCCTGGTGCCTCTTGTCCTGTCACTGGACACCACTGAAAAGAGCATGGCTCCATCCGCTCAGCATCATTGCTTCATGTGTTTATACAAATTGAGATCGCTTTGAGCCTGCTCTTTTCCAGGCTGAACAGTCCCAGCTCCCTCAGCCTTAGCTCAAAGAGAGATGCTCCAGTAACTTCATCATCTTTGTGGCCCTTTGCTGAGCTCTCCCCAGTATGTCTGTATCTCCATTGTACAGAGGAGCCTAGAACTGGACACAGGACTCCAGATGCAACCTCACCAGAGCTGAGTAGAGGGGAAGGATCATGTCCCTTGGTCTGATTTGCTGACAGCGTTCTTCCTAATGCAGCCCAGAATACTGGTAGCCTTCTTTGTGCCAGGCGCACGTTGCTGTCTTATGTTCAACTTAGTGTACACCAAGTACCCCAGAACATTTTCTGCCAAGCTGCTTTCCAGCTGGTGGTGGCCTCCAGCATATATTGGTGCATGGGGTTACTCCTCCCCAGGTGCAGAGCTTTGCACTTCTCTTTGTTGGAAGTGCACAATGTTCCTGGATGTTCTTATATCCAACGTGTTCTTAATTCATGCATCATCAAGAACCCTAAAACTACAAAGAAAATACTTTCTCAGAAATCTTTTAATTAAGTGTTCAATGGCTCTCTGGGTAGAAAGCTACTAAAAGATAGTCTTGTCTGTTGAGAAAAGAGGGACTTTTATTTATTTCGCTGTTTTTATTTTCACTTTTTCGCTATTTGCAGTTGTTAGCATTGGACTAAAGGAAGAATTCAGGAAAGATTGAGTATGGGAACTCACAGAAAACATGTTTTATATGAAGGAAGGAAGAAAGACCAGATATTTTTGAGCAGAGATGTTCCCTTATTAAACTGTAGGATTTATATTATTATTTTTTGTTATTATTATTATTTATCTATTTTTTGTTTCCAATTGTGCTTTACTATACAAACTATGAAATTTTGAAAGCAAACAAAAAGATAGGAATCACTAGACAAATCGATTTTTGGCAAAAACAAGGAGGACATGCTGACTTCAGTGTATGGTTTCCAAATTGGGGATTTGGGTCATAGTAAAGATGAGCAAAGAAGGGAAGGAATTTTGCATTGACAGAAAATGCTGCTGCTGTCTTATCATGGTATTTCATTTGGGTGTGAAACATATTAAGTCATATGTGTGTGTGTGTAAATATGTGTAATTTTGTTCCATGATACCTGCAGGCTTGTACTGTAGAGAAAAAAAGTATCCGGCTTATGCTACTCTTTTTCATGGATTTATTGGATGTCTTGTAGCTTGAACACTGTTATGGATTGAATCTACCATTCCCTGCCAGTGAGGCATGTTATTCAAAGAGACCACGCTGGATTGGTGAGTTGCACATCACACCATAAGTACTTGATTGGCTATCTGGTTGGTTGCTTCTAATTTCTTAATACTCTCTTAATTCAATTCTAGAAATAAGCTTGCTACCACTTTGCTTATACCGGGAATGAATATATTATGACCAGATGCAGGAGGCTAAATTAGGCTAGAAAATGAAAGTGAAATAGCATATTGGAAGAGAGAACCCAGTCAGTTTCTAGTCAGCTTCATTTATTCTTACAGGAAATATTATTGCTTCAACAGTACATGTCAGTAAAATCTTAGATTTTTTTCAAATATTTTCTTCTTTAAGATTTGTAATAGAGTTTAATTGAACTAGAGCTGTTGGGCAGTATTCTTTAACTTGAACTTCCTTTTTAGCAGATAAGTTTAAGGCCTTATATATGTTACATGGGCCCACCATAGATTTCTGTAACTTCTGTTGAGTGCAGCAAATCAGCTTTTCTTTAGCAAGCATTTGTGACTTTGATCAGGGAACTAGTTGTTGGAATGAATCTTCTTGCTAGTTTTTATGTGGCGTTTGGTAGTGCCTGGAGTACTCGCATTCCCTAACCACAAGTTTAACTGTGTGCTGGTTACTAGAAGCTCCTTCTGGTGTTAAAGTGTCTAGATGTTGAAGGCTTTTTTTATTTAGGTGCAGAGGTTTTTGGGTTGGGTTGTTTTTTTAGAGCAGGGCTGGTTTTTTAGAGCGTATATTCCTCCAACCAGGAGACCCATGCTTCAAAAGGCTTGAAAAAGGATTTCAAAGGATGTCATGAATGTCATTAGCTCTGTTTCTTCAGGACAGGGGAGTGAGTGTTTGCAGACGGCAAATAGTTGATTATTATTCCCTTCGTCTGCTGTTATCTAGAGGAAAAGGTTGTTCAGAGGCAGATAAACAAAAAAGGGCATGGCACTTTATGGAAGTTAGAAACATCTAGTTTGATCACTTATGCATGTGTTCAGCAAAAAAGAAATAATTGTATCCAGTGAGCATGGGAGGCCTTTTATGAAAGGAAAACTACTATTCTATTTGAATATTTCTAGCAACGGTTTGTCAGCCTAACTGAAAGGAATTATGGAACAGCTCATCTTGAATGTGCTCACACGGCATG